TCCAAAACTCGCTTCCAGAGGCCCCCGTGAAGCGATCCGCGAGATCCCGATACACATACAAGAAGCCTCTCGGCCCAAGAGGGCTCCAAGACGGCCCCCGCGGAACTGCCCGAGACCCTCTGGCGGTGGCGGCGAACAGACACCAAACAAATATCACTCGCCTTTTCACCCCTTCGCAGCTTCTACTACCCCCAGATTGGCATAAAGAAGGGGTCGGCGGTGTGGCGTAAGCCTAAGAATCATTAAATTTCCAGCAGATTCACGGATGGAGGGCGGGACGTTTTCAACAGGTGGCTCTCGCCTTAGCGCCATGCACATTCGTCGTGAAAGCTTGCAGCAGTTTCACGGATGAAGGGCGGACGGTGCCAAAATGCTGGTCTCGCCTTCGCGCCACGCGCTTTCGTCGCAAAATTTCGCGACAGCTTCAAAGATAAAGGGCGGTATGTTTCAAAATGTGGCTTTGGCCTGAGCGATGGCGCACACTCGTTTTGAATGTTTGCCGCAGTTTCAGGGGTTCGCATGATCGAAGCCTAAGGAATGATATTCTGGCAGGACTTGAGATTGTCAAAATATCAGAGTCAAAATGATTCGCAGGGTGGAAATCCCAAATACAATTGTCCCGTACGCTTTCGTATGGCAAGGACGCAACCGTAACTTTGATTCGCGACCCAAAACTCCCAGTAATGAAACTAAAGCATTGCAGGGCCGGATGAAAATTAGGAGGGAGGGTTTATCGCAACATAGTTGATGCGCCATGGGCTTACACTGGTCCTCCTGCTCCTCCTCCTCTTTCTCCTCCTATTCCTCTGCCTCCTCCTCCCACTCCTCCTCCTTCCACTCCCCCTCCTCCTCCTCCTCCTCCTCCTCCTCCTCCTCCTCCTCCTCCTCCTCCAACTTCTCCTCCTCCTCCTCCTCCGCCGCCTCCATTCCAACTCCCTCCTCCTCCTCCTCCCTCCTCCTCCTCCTTCCTCCTCCTCCTTCCTCCTCCTCCCCCCTCCTCGCTCCTCTCCTCCTCGTCCTCCTCCTCCTCCTCCTCCTCCTCCTCCTCCTCCTCCTCCTCCTCCTCCTCCTCCTCTCCTCTCTCCTATCCTCCCTCCCCCTCCTCCTCCCCCCCTGGACATCGTTTCCTCCTGCTCCCCATCTCCTCTTTTCCCCCTCCTTCCCCTCTGGAAGGAGACACCTCCCAAGCGCCACAATCATTTCACCGCCCGTGCGCCAACCTCGACTGCACTCACGATGCGCGCGGCGCAACATGGAAGCACGAGGTGCGATAAGCAGAGCTCTTTTTCCGCGGGAAATATCGCAGCCTGACCACAGAAGTGCAGGGCGAAACGACCTGCAAGAGGGCAGCTGGTTGGGCACCCAGCGGACGACGATCGGCGGCGAGCGGGGAGGGAAGTGAGAAGGAGAAAGCCTTCCCAGAAGGCAGCGGGACTTCTCAGAAGCCATCCGCCTTCTGAGAAGCTTTCTGCGTCTTCGGGGAAGGCTTGGAAAATGTCTCAGAAGGCCAGGGGGGATCTGAGCCTTCTGAGAAGGGCTCCTCCTTCTCACGTCCCCCCTTCACTCGCCGCCGATACGAGGAGGTCTACGGGGCCTGAGGCGGCCGAAGACCAGGCGAAATGACCTACGAGGCGGTCTGCCGGCTCGAGAGCAGCGGCGCACTGCGGCCCTGGCGGTCCGAGAAGCGGGGCGAGGAGCGACGACCGCGACGGCGACCGTCTCCCGCATGGAGCGCCGAGTGTAGGCACCGCGGGTTGGGGCCGAAGCGCCAGCATCACTTCAAAGTGTCCGACACCGAAACAGTCTAGACTGCTCCGAACATCAGGTGAGCGACCATCATAAACGGGTCTCGCGCGAGATGGCGTAGCGGCCTCACGGGGTGGCTTACGTGGGCCGCCGGCGCGGCGCGCTGCATTGGAGACGAGGGTGACTACGCGCGACCTCGCGCGGGCAGCTTCCGCGACAGTGTCGGCGCAGGCGACCACGCTGTCCGCCACGCCCGGGCGCGGCACATCCCGCGAGCAAGCGGATGGCGAATGGCCACGAGCCCGACGACCCGACCGTCGGCCGACGATAATCGGCGGCGTGCCAGGCGGAAAAGCGAGCGGGGGCAGGCCTTCCCGGAAGGCAGCGGAGAGCTTCTCCCAGGGCTCCCAACTTCGCGCTTCACGCTCCGCGAAGCGCGAAGCGCAAATAACTTCGCGCTCCCGCGCCGCCCCGCCAAAGGGAGAAGAGGAGGACGAGGAGGAGGGGGAGAAGGAACGAGGACCGCGAAACGCGAAGCGCGAATAACTTCGCGCCCTCGTGGAAGCCCTGGTTCTCAGACTCCTCCTGGGCCTTTTGAGCGGCCCTCTGTCGCGTCGGGTAACGCTTCGACATCTCTTCGGCAGGCCAGAGGCCTTCTGAGCTCTCTGCGCAGGCCCGCCCCCTCTCCCGTTCCTCCTCCTCCTCCTCCTCCTCCTCCTCCTCCTCCTCCTCCTCCTCCTCCTCCTCCTCCTCCTCCTCCTCCTCCTCCTCCTCCTCCTCCCCCTCCTCCCCCTCCTCCTCCTCCCCCTCCTCCTGCCTTGCCTCCTGGGCGCGCCGCCGCGACCGGCGAAGAGGACGAAGAGGAGGGAATCACTCCCGCCTCGGCGCAGGCAGTGTCAGGCCGCGCCCGCCGGCTCGCCTCGTGGCTCGCACGCTGCAGCTCCAGGGGGGGCGAGCACTGAAGGGGCCCAGGGACACGCACGAAAACATACACCTGAAGAGCAGGATTCCCCGTACTTTCCCATGTTTTCTGGGTTTGGGCCGTCCCCCCCACGTCCCATCTTTTCCCACACTTTCCTGGGGGTCCACGATAACCTGTGTCCGTGCGTTTCTTTCCCTCCTGAAGCACCCAGGCCGCTGGCCCGCCAGAGCACCTGCGAACCAGAGGCGGCCGAGGCTGCAGCGGTGCAGCCGCCGTCCGCCCGGACGCGCCGCCAGCGGTCGCCGGGAGGCCCCCAGCTGCTCCTCGGTCGGCGGCCAGAAGGCCAGCCAAAGTCAACCGGCAGCCGCTGGTTTCGCCCGGGGCTGGTTTCGCCCGGCTGGTTTCGCCCAGCTGGTTTCGCCTGGCGCTGGTTTCGCCCGGGCTGGTTTCGCCCGACGCTGGTTTCGCCCGGGCTGGTTTCGTCCGGCTGGTTTCGCCTGGCTGCTTTCGCCAGGCTGCTTTCGCCCCGCTGCTGGAGGAGGAGGCTGCCCCTGGTCGGCGGCCAGAAGGCCAGCCAAAGTCAACCCCGAGCCGCTCAGAGCATCCCCAAAACGGGTCAAAACAAAGGCGGCCTGAGAAGACCCTTCCGCACAGTCCGTGACTGTCATGAGCGCCCCTCCTCGGAGGACTCTGCAAAAACCGGTGTAGCCAGGGCAGCCCGAGATCGTCCCGAGGGCCCGTGAAGGCCCCGCAAGGCCATCGGAGCAATCTCTCTGCAGGTTTGGCAGCGAGGCGAAACTTGCCGCAAGCAGCTGGCAATGATGCCGAGCTTACATATACATGAATCATGGGGAATGAAAATATGCGTGCAACATCTCCTCTGCCCGTCAAGTGGGGGGAGAGTGATTGTATACCTTCTGGAATCGAGGTGTCTTCGTTTTGGGCGTGCAAGAAGTACCACGTAGTATCTACGGCGGCCGCTGGGTTGACTCACGCGGGCCACTTGTGCGTCTGTTGGGGGCCTCTTGGGGGCTTCTTGGAGGATTATTTGAGGACTCTGGGGGCCTCTTGGGGACCGCCGGCATGCTGTGGGGGCCACCTTGGCGCCGAGGGCGATCGGAGGGCCGCTTGGGGGATATTTGAGGATCCTGCTTTGGGCCTCTTGGAGTTTTCTTGAAGTGTTTTCTTGAAGTGCTTCTGGGCCGTCTTGGCCGCCTCGTTGGCCGTCTTGAGGCCATCTTGGGGTCCTTGGGGCCCCCTTGGGAGCCTGTTCGGCGGCCTTTTGGGCGGTCTTGTGGGCATCCTGGGGCCGCCCAGGACGCTGGCACGAAAGGGTTCTGAACAGATGCGTTCTCCTAAAGTGAGCGGGGCGATTTCTGCCACCTGGGGACCTCGAAGGGGGGTTCTCTTGGAGCCGTCTTCGGCCCCGGGGCCCCCAGGGTCGGGCCCCCTGCATGTGAGATTAGGGGAACGAAGAATTACATAAACATAAAAACTCGGAGGTCCGCGCGGATCCGAGGAATCCACGCGGACCTCCGAGTTTGAAAGCTTATGTCATGCTTCGTTCCCCTGGAGACACAGATGTGTGTATGAACACGTGCATAATGCATTGCCGCTCGTCTCTGACACTACGCTCTCATCTGTTTGCATCGCTGAATTCCGAAAGATTCCAGGCCATCTGAATGGCTTTGGCAATACTTGTGGAAACAAGGTGCAACGCCACCTCCTGGCATTTGCACATGCACCGATCGCTGGAAAGGTATAAGCCCCTGCCCCACCAATTTGGTTGACACACCGTCTTGCGTCAAAATCATCTTCAGAATCATTTCGCTGTTGCAACCAAACTTTCCGCCTGTCTTCGGAGCGATGTTCTTGCTGCATTCCGTGATATTTGCACGAAACAAGTGGGCGAAATAATTACCAAATAGCTCAGCCTTCTTTCTAGACACCACACTGCCATGATCATTAATCTCTTGTGGCCACATAGACGGCACACGGGCATCGCAGGACAATACATAAAGATCAGCAGGGCCGTGATCGATGAGACGATTCAGGCTGAAATCTTTCAGCCACAAAGTATCGTCTCTGAGGAACATTACGTAGTCGTACGGCTGCGTTGCACCCTCACTCTTTACAACTTCGTCCCACAACTGCTGGTAATTCAAAAAGAGCGTGAGCATGTTGCGATTGGCATTTGCAGTTGCTTGCCGTCTGTTTAAATCCAGAATGGGGAACCTCAAATCGGGGTCTTCTCCAGGAGACGTAGATACGGCAGCTGAACGCTTTGCAGCCACCAATTCATTATCATCAATGCTTAGCGTTTGCCTCAAGACGACCTTGCGCGCACGCCCTCCATGTTTCTGTATCTCGCTTGAAATTAAGATCTCATGCTTCTTGGTGCATTCGTCGGTCATGTTATTAAGGAAGATGCTGATATCCGACTCCACTGTCTTGCCACCACAAGCGCCATCGAGAACCGGGTCCAGTGCCAAGTGCTGCATGTACCAAAAATGCGAATGGTATGCTGGACTGCTCTGGTAAGTCAGCGAGACGTAGTAATCCGCCTGGTGGCCCTCGGCCACGAGCGGCCGTATGAGATGGTGCAACGTTGAATTCAAGCTATACCGAATGAAAGATCCTGAATCGTACTCCCTGGCACACTGGGGCGTGTGAGGATCCCTGCGGGTGGTCTGCCAAGGTTCTGGTGACTTTCTACGGGCGACGCTCCACTGTCTGCGCCGTGCCCGAAGGAACCGCCACCCCTGCTCTTGCCTCCTGACGCTCTGCTCCGCCTCCAAATCGGCCCCGAAGCAACCCAAGAATGGCCCAAGGTGGCCCAAGAGACCTCTCCAGGCGGCACGTGTGTCTGTCCCGACCTGAGGACAGGAAAAAGATAGCCTCGAGCGGCGCCCGAAAGCTCCTGGGAATGTCAAAACGTCGAAGCGCGAAGCTGGCGCGGCCCAACAAGAATCATTCCCTGGTGTTGCATTGCGTTTGCTTGCGCCTTGCTTGGCATTTGCACTTGCACTGCGGTGCGCCCCTTTCCAGGCGCGGGGGCCCTGGAATCCCGCCAGCCCTGTCGAGCGCGAGTGGTTTAGCGAGCTTCCTCTTCCAACCCCCTCCGTCCCCCTCAGGTAATCAAAGACTTACCCCTCTCGGCAGCGAGCGAGGGTAAGTGAGAAAGGGCGGGCCTTTTCAGAAGGCTCGGAAGCCCCCCGGCCTTCTGAGAAGTTATCGAAGCCTTCCCTGAAGACACAGAAAATCTTCCAGAAGGTCGGAGGGATTCTGAGAAGTCCCGCCGCCTTCCGAGATGGCCTTCGCCTTCATTTCCCCCCTGCCCTTCCTACCCACTGACCATGGACCTGGAGGGGGGGAGGGGCCGCGGGTCGTTGGAGCGTCCAAAACAACCTCGGCAGAAAGCCGAAAGTCATTGGTGTCATCAAGGTGTTGGTCGAATATTTGGCGTCCTGGGGGGGGCGTTAATTTACTACGGCCCCTCCGTTGATCGATCTCCCCCAAGGCCAAGACGGAACCAACAGTTGCCCAGGAGACCCCAAGAGGCCCCCGAAGTGCCCCCAGAAGGCTCACAAAATACTCCCAAGGGCCCTGCCAAGAGACCCCCAGGACGCCCCACGAGGACTCCAAGAAACTCTCGAAAGACATCCGAAAAGACTCCGAGAGGTATCCAAGGCCTGCGGCCTTTCTGCTCGCCCTCCTCCTCCTCCTCCGCCTCCTCCTCATCCTCCTCATCATCATCCGCATCATCATCATCATCATCATCATCATCATCATCATCAGCAGCAGCAGCAGCAGCATCATCGTCATCATAACCACCACCACCACCATCGTCATCATCATCAGCATCATCATCATCATCAGCATCATCACCATCATCAGCATCATCATCATCATCAGCCTCATCACCATCATCATCATCGTCAGCATCATCACCATCATCATCAGCATCATCATCAGCATCATCACCATCATCATCAGCATCATCATCAGCAGCATCATTCATCATCTGCAGCAGTATCATGCTAATCATCATCATCATCATCATCATAATCCTCCTCTTCTCCCTCCTGTTTCTCCTCCTCATCCTCCTCCTCCTCATCTGCCTATTACTCCTCCCTCCTCCTTCTTTCCCCCCCCCCGCTCAACCGCCTCCTCCTCCTCCTCCTCCTCCTCCTCCTCGTCCTCGTCCTCCTCCTCCTCCTCCTCCTCCTCCTCCTCCTCCTCCTCCTCCCCTTCCTCCTCCATCTCCTCTTCCCCCTCCTCCTGCTTCTGCTCCTCCTCCGATTCCTCCTCCATCGTCCCCCTCTTGGGATATGACGTCTCACCCCGGCCTTTACTCCTCTGCATGCTCCGCCACATCCCTGATCAGGGCAATTCGCACGGGCATCGTTTCTGGATGGGCCGGTGGGGCTACTTTTTGTTCGCGAGCGACACAGAGCAACTGCGCGCCGTCCAAAAACGAAGCAACAGCGCGAATTACGACCAGAAATTACGGCCTGCGGTTGCGAGGCTATGTTTAGCGTGTCTCAAGACGAAAATCTGATACACGCTAGGCGATTGTGCGCTTAGCGTGTAAATCAAGCTTAGCGTGTCACGGGCCTCCGCTTAGCGTGTACCCAGTTCGATCTGGTATCGTCGCCAGGCCCGTGCTGCAATATGACGCTTAGCGTGTATAAGAAGAGATCCTCCCCCGGTCCCCACCCATCCGCCCTGCTCCCCCTCCTCCTTGCCTCCCTGTACGTCGGTCGCCGCCCAGTCGGCGTGGACCCCTTCGCCGCCGCGGCTGGGCGCGGCTCGGAAGACTGGTGCGTTGAAATCGGTGGCGGGATTATCGAATCTTGGGAAGTGGGGCTCTCGCCTGAGGCATCCTCGAAAAATGGAAAGTTGAAAAAGCTGTTTGAAGACCACTCAAGCTAAAAATGAGCGTTTCGCCTGAGACATATTCAGACAATTGAGATATTGAAATCGCTGGCGAAACCTTCGGATCTTCGGAAATGTCGATTTCGCTTGAGACATCCTCCCAAACATGGCATGTTGAAGTAGGGCGCGTTGAGGGTCTACGTGTGACAGAGGTCCAGAATTTCACGAATAGGTTCAGCTAGTGGAGTTGACTTTCCGTAACTGTGGCTCAAGGGATAAACATCTGTTTCTCCTCCGACTGCCACAGTTGGTAGCGGAGCGCGGTCCCGGCGGGCGGCCAGAGGCGCGAGAGAGCAGGCCTGAGACTGTCGGCTGCTCCAGCGCTCGCGTGCATCCCGCCCCGGCTGCGCTCGCACCGGCAAGCAGCGTGGTCCACGGCAGGTGTGATGCCCGATGACGGCGAAGGGAAGGATGAGTGCGTGTACGCGACCGGGAGCAGTCCTCCAGCGGCTCAGGGCGGCACAGCCCCGAGCAGATCGGAGGGTACCAGCTAGCATCTCGGCGAGCGAGCTCAGGGAGATGATCCGCGCACAAGTGGCTCCACTGGTGCAGAGCATAGTTTCCGAAACTATGGGATCACAGGCTCGAGCGTCGAGAGGCAGCGTGGACGCCAAGGCAGAAGAAGCTACTGACCCATGGTCATCAGCCCAGCAAGATCCCTGGAAGAGCGGAGGCGTCGACAAGCGCGCCACCGAGGACAAGGCAGCCAGAGGAGACCAGGGACATCGGGGCTGGAGCATGGGCGGCAGTTGGGGCAGCTCCGGCTGGCAAGGCGGCGACTGGCGGGCGAGTCGCAGCGACGCCGGCTGGAGTGACTCGGGCGCCTGGGACTCAGGGGGCCGAGGGGACAGCTGGAGCAGCTCCTGGCGAGAGGGCGGCTGGGGGCGAGGAGACTTCAGCGACCCACCCAACTGGCCAGGTTGGGCTCAGTATCGACAGTGGAAGAGATCCATCCATCGATGGAACACCAATACCGACGTCCCAGTGTGGCGTCGCGCCGAGAAGTTTCTGAAGTTGTTCGACTACAGTTTTCAGTCACGATTTGAGGACATCAGCGAATCCGACCTGACGTCCAGCTCGAATCCGACCTGACGTCCAGCTCGTGGCTCGACACCCTCCTCGCCCGCATGGACATGATGGTGGGCGCCCGGGAGGGCGACGACCTCAGGAGGGCCGGCAGGAAGGCGTTCTTTGAGGCCACCCGCGAGCCCATGGAGAGCCTCACGCAGTATGTGAGCCGCCGCGAGGCTCAGCTGCAGGAGGCGGAAAACCATGACCTGTGGATGAGCTCCTAGAGGAGGGCGCGGGGCTGACCCCGCAGGGCACCCAGAGCCTGAGGACGCTCACGCAGGGTCGTCTCGACTTCGCGAACGTGACCTGGGCCATCAGGCAGATGGATGCGGGCAGCTCAGAGCGCCTCTTGCCTGGACGACCAGGCCAGGGAGCCATGCTAGCATCATCGGCTACTGAGGACTCCGGTCCGGTTCTAGATGCCGCCGCTGGCCCGTTTCAGTCCTCCTCCCGTCCTCCTCACTCCTCTGGTCGGTCGGAGGTCGGTCACGAGGGTCCTGCAGAGGACAACGAGGAGAACTACTACGACGACGAGGAAGAAGACCTGGAGGACAGCGACTCCGGAGATGACGAGCTGGCTCTACTCGCAGAGCTGAAGGATCTCGATCTGTACGAGGACTAGGTAGACGATGCGCTGGGGCTCCTCGAGAGTCGGCCTCGACCTGCGGGCCGAACTTGGAAGCAGAACAAGGAGCTCAAGCGAGCAGCCCGCAAGGATCGAGAATACTAGGGAGTTAAGCCAAAGGCAGGAACACAGTCCCCGGCGCCGCCCCCAACCAGAGCGGCACGGGTTCGGGACTCTAGTGGCAAACGAGACCGAGCCCGCGGTCCAGAGGGCCCGGAACTACAAGAAGAAGCTGACCTGCGAGCAGCTGATCAAGATCAAGAAGTGCAAGCGTTGCCACCAGAAGGGGCACTGGGGCAAGGAGTGCCCCAAGTACGGAGATCATCTCGGCGGTGGAGGTCGACCCGGCAGCAGTAGCAGCGGCGGAGGCAGACCGGGTCAGGACCGCCAGAAGCTCTCCGCCTACATGCTCGACGGGTTCGTGGACCAGAGCGCTGGCAACCAGGACGTGTACGCCCTGGGATCTCCCTCGTCTCTGCCCTCCTGGCAGGAGGCCGAGATCCAGTGCGGCTCGGTGTTCATCAACACGTCATCCGTCCAGGGGCTGGTTGATCCCGGCGCTGGGAGCGACCTCTTGGGAGTTCAGGCACTCAACCGCGAGGCCGAGAGTCTCGCCAGGATTGGGATGCAGTACGTGGAGATTCCGTTGCCGGCCAGACCTCCTAAGGCGGCCCATGGAGTCGGAGGCATGGCGAAGGTGATCAATGTCATCCTCTTCCCTCTCTGTCTAGGAGGCGTGCAAGGTATCATTGAGACAACCGTCCTGGCAGAGAACGTGCCTCATATTTGAGCGTGAATCTTCTGGACTACCTAGGCTGTGTCATAGACCTGCCCAAGAAAGACATGATCTCACACACGCTAGACGAGGTAGTGAAGTTGACTAGGATAGGGTCCAGGCACCGTCTGGCGGAGATCGTCCGGCCTCTCAAGGAAGAGGTCAAGGTCCCCGCAGCAGCTCTTAAGAAGTACCCGTTCTTGAGGCCGGACTCGTTCACGATTGGCAG